CATTCAGAGGGCCTCAGAATGCACAGATGCCTGTCTTACTTTTAATTAGGTTATTGCATGTGTTCAAGTCCAGGATCTCCTAGGTAGAGTGTTTAGAAGTAGTTTCCTGTTCTTTTCTTCTGTGGTGCTCGGGGACCACGTAGCCTGCTATAGGTCACACTCACTGGCTTTTTACCCAAGAGTCACAGTGGTGAATTGAACTCCTGGCTTCTGCATCCACAGCCAGGTAACCAAATGTTCTATCAGCCTATATTTTACATGGGCTAGCTTTTTAAAAATATTTTCTGTATTTTATCATAGAAGTGACCGATCAGATAGGAAACAATGATTATTCATACATGTCTCTTTCCTATTTAGCATCTGAAGTGGATTGAGTGGGAGGTGCAATCTAATTAATACATAATTAATTAGCTAGGAAGAGCTGAACTCTGCCAACCTCTGTTCCATTACTATCATGCAAACACTTTTCTCCTATCCTGTTTCCAAGTCTAAAACAATGCCAATGGGAGGGGGGGGGGAATGCCTGAAGCAATGGGCTACATGGAGGTAAAGTGTGTGGAAAGGTAGAATTTGTCAACCCTAACCTGTGCCCCCACCCCCACAGCCTGCTCCACTAACAAACCTTTGCTGGATTTGCAAATTGGACAGACAAACCAACATGGCTGCTTCAGTCTGACATGCCCACTTTTGTTCTCAGAAAAAGGTTGGGCAGTTGTGACTCTCCAGATGTCCTTTTTCCATAAACGGTTAGAAATGGTTTTCCACATATGTTCAGTCACAGATCTGCTCTGGTCCATTTCTGCACTAATATGTCATTAAGAAATACACTCTTTACTCCCAATAGCCAAACCTGTTGTAGAGGTAAAATACATTGTTTCATGAGTTCCATGAAGGAAGGAGAGGGGATTAAATTGTAATAAATGAATGAACCCTGTTTGCAGAATGAAACTGGAACATTTTCTTCCTCTTAAATTTGCTATTTGTGAAATGACTTTAGCCTTCCTTAACTCTGTTCCACTGCTCTCTAGCTTCTCTCTGTATGTGTATATGTATGTGTGTTTCATGCAAACAAGCCTTCTCCCATTTTCCCCTTCCATCTTTCTGCCTTGAATCCACCTATAGGATTTGACCACCAATTGCAAATATGAACGCCACCATTCAAAATGATGAATTGGGCCCTGTGACCACTAGATATCTGTTCTCAATGCCTTTCCTTTCTTCAACAACAACAACAACAGCAACAGACTTTTACAGTGTGGTGCATTAGAACTTCATTAAAGACTGCTGTTAGAAAATTGTTAAACAGAGTTTATATTTCTATCTCTATGTGAGTACAGTGGTACCTTGCAAGACGATGTTAATTCGTTCCATGAAAAAGTCATCTTGTGAAAACATCATTTTGCGAAATGCATTTCCCCATAGGAATGCATTGAAATCTATTTAATGTGTTCCAATGGGGAAAAATCGTTGTCTTGTGAAAATCGTCCATAGGAAAACATCATCTTGCGAAGCGCAACAGCAATCGCAAAAACCAATCGTCTTGCAGATTAATCGTCCTGCGAGGCAATTGCCTTGTGAGGCACCACTGTACTTGTTATGTGGGTCTTTGGCAAAAGGTGATTTGATTGTGTTATGTTGTGATGTTTGTTTCTCTGTATAAGGTTGACTGTCTTCTGAACATCTTTGTTCCTTTAAGTCTTGATACCTCCTGCTCCCCAAAATACCAATGCACTATAGTGCAGAAGCAAGAAAAAATAGAAGTTTAAAACTGTAATACTGTGAAGCAGCAAAACACAATGGCTGGCAGGTACAGAGTACACCATGATAATGGTGCAGTAAGAGATATGAGCAGATGATGGAGTGGAAAGGTAGAATAAGAGGAGGTGGAAGAACTAGCTGGAGCTATGGTAGACAGAATAAGCCAAAGGGGAACATGTTATGTCTTGGGAACAATTCCAGATAGGATGTACTTAAATTAACCCACCAGTTTACACTGGACACTGCCAGTCCTGAAAAAGAAGTCCCTGCACAGTCACGTATTGCTGCTTTGGACCAACCACACTCTCTTTCAACCTAATTAATTCTTAGGATAAAATGTGGGTGGAGAAACATACATTAACTTGTTCTCCTTGTTGGAATGATGACATATAGGTCAAAATCCTCTTGTGTAACTTATGTTGATGTTACCTTACACAAGAAGATTTTGGCCAGTGATGTAATGAACAAATTTAAAAATATTTAATATACTGTACATATTAGTCAAATGTCTAACCCCATGCATCTCATCTTTTATAAGCAACCAGAGGTATTCATAAGAGATGTGAAAGAATTTGTCTCCTCCTTCTCACCATCTAAGGTAAGGCCATATTTTGGCACATGAGGAGGAAATCCCACAAGTACCTCTCCCTTTCC